CTATCTCAAAGTTATTAGTATCCCTTTTTTTGATTTGGTTATGAAGATAATTCAAACTAACCCTTCTTGTAATTTGACATCACCTTTGCTTTAGAAACTTTAAAGCTTAAGAAAATGAGTCGTCTTGTTAGTGTTGCACTTCCATGTTCTGTACCAAACCTCAGGCTTGCCCTCGGTTTGGTCCTTTTTAGAATGTTCATGTTCTGTGAAGCAGGTCTTTTCTGTTACATACCATTTAGTGTTAGTCATGCTATTAAAGAGAAAATTTAGATAATTTAGTGGAGAAAATTTCTCCAGAACTAAAATTTCATGCATAAAAGTAAAAAAGTGAAATGGTTACCAAATTTGGAATTTCCTTATGAATACTCTGTATGTTTCTTGAAAAACTGGGAAAAGATAAAAGTCAAACAGCCAAGGGAAGCAAAATTGATAACAGAATGAGAAGAATAATATATACCAACTTAGTAAATAAAATGCTTAAGTAATTTTGCCAGACCAGGGCAGATATTTCTATATATGGATGCTCAGTGGTTTTTAGAAAGGGCTAATGAAATTGCTCTCTAGATGGGAGTTGATGTCAACTCTTCATGACTGGCAACAATGTTCCCAGCATTTTCACACTATCATATCACATCACCTAAAAAATAAAGGATCTCTAAAGTAACTGCTGAAGATTGTCTTGAAAATAAGAGGCCAAATCTGAGTAGATGCGCTCATGGGGTACATCTAATGAACCTCTATAATCTGCAACCAAACTAGAGGCACACTATGCCAGAAGAATGTTGTCCTGGAGAAAAATAAATATATAAAGAGAGATGGGTCATCAGCTTTCCTTTGTTACAATGCTGGGAGAAGCAAGAAATTAGATTCACTTATATGGAGATTTGAAAACCCCCTTTGTATATGTAAATTTCCTGTGTGTATATAAAGTTAACAAAAATGCACTGACATCTGGTAGGTTGTTTGGGAAATGGCTCCTGCAATTAAAGAGAAAAATGGCTTACCAGAAAACATTCTATTACTGATAGCTGCACATAGACACTGGAGGTTTAAATTAAAACAAGTCTATAGGGTTTTTTTCCTACAAGTACCATGGCTATGCGTAGCTATTAGACTGAGAAACAATAAATCATCAAAAGCTGGATGCTGAAAGTGTTTGGTACATTATGAGAAGCATTGTCCTACTGCAGATGTAAATAAATGGCATGTTTATAATGAGAAATTTCATTGCTGTGTGGGAAAGACACCTCAGAATTGCTTTGCCAAAGCTGGTGTTGGAATCATTGATGGCTCAGAGAAACAGAGCAGGATAAGTGATGACTCTGACTGGAATTGAGCCACAAAGAAAAAATGAACTCTCCCATGCTCAAATGCCAATGATTGTGTAGATATTGATAATGTGTTAGCTCCCTCTGCTGATTGTGAATTTCAAAGGAGAACAGGCACTCTTGAGGCAGGTCTATTCTGAACACAGAACAAGAAGAAAATTTGCCCAAGGCCAAATATCCAGGAGAAAAGAAGCATAAACAGCACTGGTGATCAGTGATAGAATGCAACAATGTGCATGATTTTGATGCCAACGCAACAGTCACTGGATTTGTTTGTGAATCACAAAATAACACATCGGGATCCAATCCTGTTAAATGGAATGTAAAACCAGGGTCTCCTAGATAAGATTAGAGCTCTGTGTAATATATGTATCTTGTTTTAGCCCAACAGACATTTCTGGAGCATCTAGTACATGAGAGCTGGTTTGTAATCCAGACTCCATCGTTTCTTAGTTTTGTAATCTTTGTCAAGACCAGAAGATTTCTAATGTATACAATTAGGAGACTGGATTAGGTTATCTAAACCATCAGTTCTATAATTCCAGGCTTGGTAGCTGCAGGAACTGAAATGGAAATTGAAGCCTTTACTCCATACGCTCAAACTATCTAAAATCATGCATTATAAAAAAGAGATTCCATTCTTCAGTAACTTGATGAATTAGTAACAGAATTTCTGAATTTGAAAACTATAAAATTATAAAGCCACCTATTTAAATGGTTCTGTATGCACGTTAGTATACACATCCAGAAGTATTTTTCTTGGAAACTACCCAACATATTTTTAAAACTGTAGATATTAATTTATTACCAGGATAGACGGTGTATAGGCATGCTAAATAAAGCTAATTAAAAAAAAAAACAAAACCTTACATCAGATCATATCACTGCTCTGCTCTAACCTCTCTAAAGATTTTCTGTTACACTTAGAATAAAATCCAAATTCCTTCTGGCTTCCACAGCCTTGCAAGACCCTCTGGCCATAAGATAAGACATAATAGAACTCCAAGCAGAGAGAGTTGGTGCAAAGATCATAAAATGGGAAGGAGCTCACAATATTTAAAGACCAGAAAGAAACGTGGTGTGATCTCTCCTCCTACCACTCTTCTCTCACTTCTACTACCTTCCAGTCACTCTGGCTTAATTCTGTTCTCTCTTATCTTCTTGTGGCTGATTCCTTCTTGACATTCAGATTTCAGCTTAAATGTTACCTCCTGAGAGAGACCTTCCCTGATTTCCCAATGTAAAGGGTTTTGCTAGAAATACAAGTTTTGGAGCACAGATATGTTACTTTAGGAGAGAACATGGAGTAAGAAGAGAGGCTTTGATAGAGCCCTAAAATCTCTAAATTGAGGCAACATTTAGGGTTCACAGAGCTCTTAACTCAGGACTGTCTAGCTCCAGAACTCATTCTCTAAGGTACTATTCCCTCTCACAAAGAATAGGTACTGAATAAAATTAATACTAATACGAAAATTAAACCCTTACAGACGGTGGATAAAGGTGAAAAAAGAAGCATATACTTTGATGTAAAATGAAGAAGTGATATTTGAGATAGGCATTGAAAAATAAGTAAGATTTAGACAGGAGAGGCAGCATGTGCAAAGGCGTTGAGACATGAAAGAGCATGGTACTGAAGTGTTAGCTCCATGTAGGCAAGGGCATTGTCTGTCTTTTTCACTGCTATATCTCCAGGATATATAATAGGCCTGGCTCATAGTAGACACTTAGTACATATTAGTGGAAGGAATGGATGGATGGATGGATGAATGAATGAATGCCACCACAGAGAAGCAGGGTTGAACACAGAGTGTGTTGGTGAGAGAGACAGAATATGAAGCAGGAGAGGTAGAGGGAGGCCAGATCATGGAGGGCCTTGAATTCTCTGTTAAGAATCTTAGACCTTATCCCCTATATAATGTGGAGCCAATGAAGGTTTTAAGTAGGATTTCAAAGTGATCAGATTTTGTTTTAAATAGAATAATCTCAAGTGACAAGAAGGGGTGGGTGGGGAGATGGTGAAGGAGATACTATAGGTACAGACATTATTTCTGATTTCTAGTGCCCTGATCATTGTAGTCATGAGTTTCTTAATGTACTTCAATTTGTCTCTAGCCCACCCAGAGCCGATAACAATAACTAAGGTATGGTATAGTCTGCACATATTAGATTAGAACCATGTGTATAGTGCCTCATGACCAGTACTACATTTTTGACATGCTTGGAAAAATACAGAGGAATGGAGTAGAGGTAATTTGCACAAACTATCTCACCATTTCCCATTTTTCCTTTTCTTTCGCCCTGAATATAAACTAAATAAAAGTAAATGTTAGTTATCGTTATGTAAGACCAAATGAAGGAGAACCAATGACAAACACAGTGCTTGTTTGATAAATACTTATTGTCCTCAAGTGCTTACTCTCTGCCTGGCACTACTGTTCACTGAGGTGGGATTAGAGAAGGAAGAACAGGTTATGGGAGAGGGGAGAGTAGAAATGTACTAGGTCATCTGAGGACTACATTAAGTTTTAAGTGCTTGAAAGAGATGCCCAGCTGTCATTAGATATTTCAGTCTGGGTTACAGGAGTCTTTTCTGGGCTTCCTATATGTGGGAATCCTCAGCATAGAGATGACAACCAAATCAGTGGGAGTGGTAAGATCACCCAAGAAACGTGTGAGCATAGGGCAGAGCACTATGGATCGTGAACATTTCAAAGGAAAATGAGGAGCTGCCATAAAAGTGGGAGGGGAATGAGGAATGTGCACCATCTTAGAGATAAAAGAATAGAAAGTGCTATGAAGTGAATGTTTGTGTCCCTCCCCACAATTTATATATTGGAGTCCTGCTCCTCAATGTGATGGTAGTTGGAGGTGGTGCCTTTCTGAGTTAATTAGGCCAGGAGGGTGGAGCCCTCATGAATGAGATTGCTGCCCTTATAAGAGATGTGTGAGAGCTGATATCTCTCCATCATGTGAAGATACAGCAAGAAGATAGCAGTTTGCAAGTCAGCAAGCAGGTTCCCACCAGAACTCAACCATACCGGCATTCTTGTCTGAAACTTCCCAGCCTCCAGAACTGTAAAAAATGAATTTCTGTTGTTTAAGCCATCCAGTTTGTGATATTTTGTTAAGGCGGCCCATACTAAGAGGATTTAAAGAAGAGGAAAACAATCAACGTAAAATCCTGCAAGTTTGAAGTATGGTAATTGTTTTAGCAACACAGTTGATAATTTTGACTGGAAAAGAGAGGTGGGAAAAAGACTACAGGTTAAGTTTGTGTGGTGACAGGTTTGGGGGGTGTGAAATTGAGAAAGGTGACTTTGGAAGGTTTTAGATGAGAGCAATTCTGCCAATCTTTAAATGCTGATAATAAGCAGCGAGTAAGCAGGGAGCCATTTGAGTCATGAGACAGAAGGGTTCATCAGTGGGGCTAGACTCAGTTGGCAAGAGGGAATAGGAATGTAAAGGGGACGGGGCGGGGGGAGCTTATATCACATGAGAGGAGGAGAAGGAGGAGGTATTATTATTATTATTATTATTATTATTATTATTATTATTGCAAAAGAATGGGAGAAAGGATTGTTCAGGGGTCTAAGGAGGTTAGGAGATTTCGTGGCGAAAGTAGAGAGTTCCTGTGACACGAATTCTACTTTGTGAAATAACAGGAGACGTTACCTTCTGAGACTAAGCACGGAGATGGCGGGGCAAGCTTCGCTCTTCATTTATCCCTACCGACTCAATGCTGGTGAACTCTTTGTGGCCCTGCATCCTTCCTTTTGCCGGAGGAACAGCGCTTGATGTTGTTTACCACAAGTTATTGACTGTGTGACAGACTGGGCGATATGCCAGTTGGACTACCACTCCCAGAATGCAGTGCGGCTACTGGGAAGTGCCGGGGCTGGGAACGCAGCAGGCCCCGCCCTACAGCGCACTCCCCATTGGAGGAGCGCTCACATTCCCAGGAGGCCGCGCGCGGGCGGGGCGCTTTACGCGGAAGCCGGTGGCGTCCGGTCCCAGCCTCCTCTGGGAGCGGGCAGTCGGCGGCCCGGCTCAGACTTGCGCCCCTCGGTTCTGAGCCCACGCGCTTTCAGGGGGTGCACGGACAGGTAAGTGGAACGGGGCGCGCTCGGCAGAAGGCGGGGAGACGACGGCGGAGGGAGGGCAGAGGGGTGGTCGAGAGGGTGCTGGGGTGGAGCGAGGAGGCAGTGCAAGGGTGACTTGGGCTTCTCTGGTGTCGACGGTGCGAATTGTCGGGCAGGTTCAATTTTGGCGAACTGCGTTTTGTGCCGCTGATAAAGAGTGTCAGAATGCGTCACTGAAGTTGTTGTTACAGGAGGGCGAAATGTTAACTTTCCTTCAATTCGCATTTTGCAGGACCTTTCTTTAGCGTTTGAGATTCAATCTTGAGATTTGAGTCTTCTAAAAACTAGTCTCTGCGCCCTTGTTTTGATGACGTCACTTTGTGCTTCACCTACTTCTGTGCTCCTTCGTGGGTTTGTACACCTCCGCGTGCCCTTTCTTCACCGCCCATTGTTTCATTCCTCTTCTGCCTCAGTTCGGATAGGGACTCATTATCTCTACCCAGACCTATTTTCACAGCGTCGACTTGTATTTTACTGTTATAACTGGCCAATATTTAACAAACTCTGACCATGTACTAGACTCTTTGGTAAATGTCTTACATCTCCCTCTCCTGTAACCCCCACAAATGAGCAATTGTCAAGTCCTTTTCTTTCTCTTATTAATTGCGCTCAACTACCTGTACCTCCATTGTCCCACCCTCGATCCCAGAGACATGTGTTCCCTTTGAATAGCTGTGGCTGAGAGCAGACTCACTCATATATTTAATAAATATTTATTGAACAGCTAATATGTGCTAGAGACTCTTCTAAGTTCAAGGGATATAGCTAGAAACAAGACCTAGGAGATCGCTACTCTTAGTAGCTTAGATGTTTGTATGTGTGTGTTGGCAAACAGGAATAATCCAGATGATGTGATGTGATGTGGTGGTTAATGCAAAGTAGAACAGGTGGTTGACTTGACGGGGTAGGCTCCTATCCTGAGAAAGTCAGAGGGATTGCGTTGGGTCTCAGAACATCACCATAAAAGAGTATTTGTAACACCAACAAGAATACAAGAAGTCTGTAACCAGACTTCAGGCTTTTCATAAACATCTCTTCTTTTCCTCTGTCATATCAATATTTGTTCTTCATTCTTCTGTCTCCTCCAAGGTTATTACATCAGAACTGGTGGTTTATCTGTCGTTGGTTTATTTCCTCCTAAGACCCAGACAGAAAGTTGGGGATTAGATTAGATTAAAGCAGCTCAACTGCTTTATCTTAATTAAGGAGATAGTTTAGTAATCAAAATATCCTTCTTCCTAGGTCCTACTGAATATAAAGTTATCTGTTGTTTAAACCAAAACATGCTCAGTATTCATTCATTTATTTAACAAATATTTGAGGGAAAATTATATGCCAGGCACTGTGCTGGGCACTGGAAAGCTAGTGAGGATAAAATAGACCTTGACCTCTCTTCCAGAGAAATAATTGTAAGTAGTATGTAGAGGAAACTCCTAATACATAGGCTGATGCCTGCATTTTTTCTTCACCCAGGGTGAGATAATCACAAACCTTTAAGAAGTCTGAATAACTTTGTACATTTTTAGATTATTCACTGGTTACACTTCATTGCACTTATTTGCTTATGTCTGTGTTTCCCATTGTACTATGGCTCCCTTGAGTATAGAGGTCCTTTCTTACTGGCCTTGGTATCTCCAGTGTCTACTACTTTGGCTGTCATATAGTAAATCCTGGAAAAATATGTGTTGAACTGAAATAGAAAAACGATTTGATCCAATCCATTAATTATTTCATTTACACAAGGCCTTCTTTATAAAATGTCATTGTACTTATCCCTAAAACTTCTCATTCATCAAATGTGGACCAGTCTATCTCATCAGGCTAGTTTACCTTCCCTAGTTTGTTCTCACTTCTATGCCTTCTCTTGTTCCATAGCTCTCCCATAAAATGTGTTCCCATCTCTTCGTGAGCACTTCTTATGCCCCCTTCTCATTTAATTTAATGGGCCAATTTAATAGTATATAAGGGTGGAAACAATCTAATTTCCATTGTGTATTTCCTGTGAAACATTCTGCTAATGAACTGTTGCAAGGATTAACATAATACATTCCTTTGCAATAATATAAATAATGAGACAGAATGCATTCTTTTGATTTTGCATTGACTATTACCATGTGCTATGTGAGAAGTTAATTCTTCCACCTTTTTTTTCTGTTTGAACAGTTGCACAACCTTTATTCATACAACACATTATAGTGTCATTTGGTTTCCACTTGGTAGAGACACATCTTTAAATATTATTTTCTCCTTAGCCTGAGATAATTTTTATTTTGTCACTCTGTTGTTTTCAGAATGTAAGTTTCAATTCTTCAAATGAAAGGTTTTTATTATGCAGATATCATTCAACTGTAAATTGTTACTGCAAAAGATAAATTTTGTCTTTATAACTGATTAAAAAACACAACAGGAACACAAGAGTGTTGGAGTCATGATTGTCATTATGATTTTAGGATATGCCAGCCTAAGAGCAGCCAGACATGCTTCCAAGACATTAAAAATTAGGCACTGTCATTTTAGAGAATTTCTTGGCTTTTAGGCCTTCATAATGCAAATGCAGCATGGAATTGTGTGCCATCACTCATTTATAAGGTATATGTGTAGATCCAGAATATTAACATACATTTTTTAATGCTATCAAAATAAAAATATAGAATTAAAAAAAATCCTCAGAATACACAGACTCGAATGTGAGAAAAACTGACTTGGCCTTTTTATTCAGTTCCCTAAAACCATCTTTACCCTCTACTTGAAGATGCCTCCACTGAGGAGCAGTGTTTTCATTGTTGCTGTTATATTTGCAATTTGTTTTTTATTTTTATTTTTATGTATTGTTTTCTAGAGAGGGGCATGGGGAGTGGGAAGCAATTTTTTTAAGATTTATTTATTTATTTGAGAGAGAGTGTGTGTGGGAGGGCAAGGGTAGAGGAAGAGAGAGTCTTAAGCAGACTCTGCGCTGATTGTGGAGCCCGAAATGGGGCTAAATCTCATGACCCTGAGATCACACCCGAGCTGAAACCAAGAGTTGGATGCTTAACCAGCTGGGCCACCCAGGGGCCCTGAGCAATTTGTTTATAACACAGGTAATCCCTTACTTATAAATGGATATATTTTGAAAATTACTTTTTAAGATTTTTTGAAACTTGATGCCTTTTTCATTATAAATAATGCTATTCAGGGCATTTCCGTTATTATGCCAATTGGTAACATCTTAATCTTTAATGGACTTAAAGATCTTCACCACAATTTAATAATTCCTCTGTAAAAAACTACATCTAGAATTCTCAGTAGGATTCCCCCATAGCATTTTTTTTTTTTTGAATCCCGGCAACTGAAACAAAAATGTCCTTTCCTTGGAATCTTCTAGGCAGTAGAAACAGGCCTTTCTAACTCCAAGCTGTTGGAGATTGCCCTTCTGGCCCATCTCTTTAAGGACAGGCCTCTAATGGGAGTAAGGAAAGACTGATGTGAATATAGAGAGAGGGAAGAGTAAGAATGATTTGGGAGGAACAGTGAGTTTCTAAGATGTTTTGTGTCCTCAAAAAAGATATGTTGCATCTTGACCAGTGGTACCTGTGAATGTGACTTTATTTGGAAATAAGGGTTTTTGCAGGTATAGTTAAGATGTAAGTTAAAATGAGGTCATAGCGGAGTGGGTGTCCTAATAAGAGAAAAGACCCAGAGACTGCTATGTGAAGACATGGACACACATGAAGAATACCATATGACTATGGAGGCAGAGATTGAAGTGCTGCAGCTGAAACCCAAGGAATGCCAAGGATTGTCAGCAGACTACCAGAAGCTAGGGAGAGATAAGAAAGGATTGTCCCCTAATAGATTTCTGAGGGAGCCTGGCCCTGCCAACATCTTGATTTCAATAAATTTCTGTTGTTCTAAACCTTTGTGGCTTTTGATACTTTGTCAAGGCAGCCACAGGAAACTCATACAGGATTCTTAGCAGGAAGGAAGTAGAACTGGGATAACGGCTGTGGGACCAAGCAAGGCATGAATAAGAGAATGGAGGAACAGTGTTGAGACAGGGCTTTCCTTTATATTTCATTATTGGGTTTTTTTTCCTTCTCTTTTCCCTCTGGTTTATCTTTTTCATTCTTTTTTTCTTGCATATTACATTTATATAGCACTTTATGGTTTATTAGACATTCACATACTGCTAGTAATTAGCAGAACCAGGTTTTCTCACTTTAAATGCAGTTTTCATTCATAGTTTCTATTATCCCAATATTCATTAAGACATTAGATTCAAGTAATGGGGATTAAGGAATACCCTTGTGAGCACCAGCTGTTGTATGGAAGTGTTGAATCACTAAATTATAAACCTGAAACTAATTTTACACTGTTAACTGGAATTTAAATAAAAACTTAAAAAGACATTACAGATTCTATTGCAAGAGAGTTACAGTGGTGGCAGATGAGACTTGATAATAGGTGAGGTTTTTAACAGTCCAGAAGAGAGTAAGAAATTGCTGTTATTGATGTCTGAGAAGAAAGTGTCTGTTGCTATGTACCTGATGTTTAACAGACATTTTTTAATTGGGGACTGATTTTCTTGAACAAAACACTGCTTCCCTGTAACATATATCTGTTGTTCCAAGTCCAAATAATGCACTCCCTGTTCTAGGTGACTGTACTTCATGTAAAATTGAAGGCTGTTGTCACGTTCCCTCTAAATCTTCTCTTTTTAATATTAAATATTTCTAGTGTCTCTAGTCATTCTTCAAATGATAGAATGTCCAGGTCTCTGTCCAGGTCTCTTACCCATCCAGTCTTGAAATACTGTACCCAGACTTGAACTCAGTATTCCACATATATTCTAACCAGCAGAGAGTATAATGGTAATAGTAGTTAAAAAGATCAAGACACCCTGTTTTTAAATGTAATTTAGGATTATGTAAGCATTTTAAGCAATTACCTAATGTCAGTTCATAATGAACTTATGGTCCACTAAGACGCTAGATTTTTTTTTTTTTTTTTTTTTTTTTTTTTGTATTGTTGCCAGTTCAGTTTTCTTCTTGAAGCTACTAAGGGATTGAAGCTGCTACTTTTTCATTTGTTTCAGGGACCATGTAATTTCTCATCTCGGTTTCTCTTTGTGTTATTGTTCCACTCTACTGCGTATCTGTTGACTAACCAATAACTTCCTTCTTTATAAAATTTCAGTGGCTCTTTATAGTCTTCTACTGTGCATCAGTAAACACAGGTAGGAGCTGACATTTGTTCCTTCTTGAAGCTTGCTTTCCCTTTGGCTTCCAGGCCACCACACACTTCTGGCTTTCCTCTCATTTCTCAGTCTTCTTTGTGGGTCTCTTTTCATCTACCTTTCCCTCAACTATTTGTTGTGCCTTGGGTTTTGTCTTTGGCTTTCTCTTAACTTTGGTTGTGCCCTGATTTTTTTTTTTCTATATGCAATATGTCTTCAACAAATAGATGATGTTTAAAATGACAGGTGTAGATGAGCTCTTCTTGGGATGAGAGAGCATAGAACCAAGACCCATGGAAAGTCAACATTTGGAAGTCAGCTAGAGGAGGAGGGCTCATCAAGAAAACAAGAAGCAGCCAGATATGTGGGAGTGTTTCAAGAAGGAGGGTTAGTCAACGATGTCGACTCTTCCTAAGAGGTCAGGTAAGTGAGAATAGAGAAGTGTCCACTGAATTTTGTAGCATAGAGACTGTTGATGATCTTAGCAAGCATGGTTTTGTGGACTGTTGAGGGCAAAACCCAGTAAGTTGAAGAGTTAAAAAGAAGTAGAGGGGCGCCTGGGTGGCTCAGTCATTAAGCGTCTGCCTTCGGCTCAGGTCATGATCCCAGGGTCCTGGGATCGAGCCCTGCATCAGGCTGCCTGCTCTGCGGGAAGCCTACTTCTCCCTCTCCCACTCCCCCTGCTTGTGTTCCCTCTCTCGCTGTCTCTCTCTCTGTCAAATAAATAAAAATTTAAAAAAGAAAGTATGAGGGCAGAATAAATTATTTAAAAAAAAAAGAAGTAGAGAAGCAGAGATGGTGTATAGATTATGATATTAAGAAATGGAGCAGTACCTGGAGCATGTTATAGGGTCAGCTGAGGCTTTTAAGATTGAGAGATATGATGTATGAGAAAGTGATTTGGAAATTGTAACTTACTACGTATGTATAGAGAGAAATCCAGAAAGAAGATGGCTAAGGACACAACCCTGAGGAATACCCTCATTTAGAGAGTGAAGAAGAGACCCTGAGAGGTGTTCAGCTCAGGACACAGATGAGCGCTTCTGCTCTATGTGTAGTTTTTCAGTGCTGGGATTCCAAGAAGGAATCTCTGGATTCCCCGACTTCAAGCACTTTATGGTCTGTTGCTGTGTTTCACAAAATATGGTTAAGTGAATGACCTGCATCTAGATAGGCTTGTCTTAAGTATGTTATTCCAGGGTCTTACCTCAAGCCTACTGAATCAGAATTTTAGGTGATGATGCCAAGAATTTGAGTTTTTAACAGTGACTGTCACTCTTCCACCCAAGATAACTCATTCACCTACAGTTTAAGAACCACTGGCCTGTTGGATGAAACTGAACATGTTAACAAATAATAGTAAGTTGAAGAGTTAGTAGAAGAATAGGAAGGTACTTGGACATCTCTTTTTATAAATTTATTCCATTAGATAAAAGAAATGGGGCTGTTAGGTGAAAAAAATAGTACAAATTCATTAACATGAGAAAAAGAGACTTAAACTCGTGTTGTATTTTTTTAAGAAATGTTTTGTTTATGAAGGATCTTAACATAATTTAGAGAACCATTCCTCTTGTGGAAGGTTTGGGTTCTTTTCAGTTTGTTTCTATTATGGATAATGCCTTTATAGTAGAGGCAGTATGTACTATAGGGATAGAATTACAGGTTCTAGAACCATACTGCCTGGGTTTGAATCCCAACTCTTATTATTTACTAGCTCTGTAATTTTGGGCAAACTTTGTAAGTCATCTATGCTGCAGTTTGCTCATTTTAGTATAAGTATCATAATAGTGTATAATTTAATTGATGTAAGTATTGAGTGAGTTAATAGTTGTAAAGAGCTTAAAATGGTGCCTGGTACACAGTAAGCACTTAATAAATATGGGCTATTAATACTGTTAATATGTATCTTTCTGAATCTAGAGTCAAATTTCTGTTGAACTATTAGGATAAATTTTCAGGATGGGATTATTGCATATGTGGAATTAAGAAACAAAACAAAAAGACAAACAAAAAACAGACTCTTAAATACAGGGAACAAACTGGTGGTTGACAGAGGGGAGGTGGAGGGGATGGGTGAAATAGATAAAGGAGATTAAGAGTACACTTATGGTGATGAGCACTGAGTAATGCGTAGAATTGTTGAATCATTATATTGTGTACCTGAAACTCATATAGCACTGTATGTTAATTATGCTTCAATAAAAAAAGGATGAACCACCTCTTATGTCCCTTTACTATTTATGGTAATTGCTTTTCAAATGGTGATATCCAATTATGCTGTATAATTTGTAAATGCACCCTATCTATCAGTGTGTATGTGACATATACATTACAGTGTATACACACACGTGTGTACATATTTGGTGTGTCTCTATATATGTATGCATATCAACATGTTTTAGGGTTGTAAGCTTGTACAAGACTGTGACCTTTGTGTTAAGCCTGTTATTAAGTGTCTTACATTAATATTATAGCCCCTTGGTCAATACTGTTTCCAGGTCCACAAACAAATGGAAGGATATTCTGTGCTCATGGATTGGAAGAACTAGTATTTTTGAAATGTCCATACTACCTAAAGCAATTTTCAGATTCAGTGCAATCCGTATCAAAATACCAATAGCATTTTTCACAGAACTAGAACAAATAATCCTAACATTTATATGGAACCACAAAAGACCCTGAATAGCCAAAGCAATCCTGAGAAATAAGAACAAAGCTGAAGGTATCACAGTCCCAGATTTCAAGATATATTAGAAAGCTATAGGAAGCAAAACAGTATGGTGCTGGCATAAAAACAGACACGTAGATCAGTGGAACAGAATAGAGAGCCCAGAAATAAACCCACAATTATATGGTCCATTAATCTTCAACAAAAGAGGCAAGAATATACAACAGGGAATAGACGGTCTCTTCAACAAATGATGTTGGGAAAACTGGACCATGGTCTTACACCATACACAAACTCAAAATGGATTAAATACCTAAATGTGGAACACAAAACCATAAAACTCCTAGAAGAAAAGTAGGCAGTAATTTCCTTGACATAGGCCTTAGCAACATTTTTCTAGATATGTCTCCTGAGGCAAGGGAAACAAAAGCAAAAATAAACTATTGGGAATACATCAAAATTAAAAGCTTTTGCACAGCAAAGGAAACCACCAACAAAACTAAAAGGCAACCTATTGAATGGGAAAAGATATTTGCAAATGATATGTTCATAAGCGATTAGTATCTAGAATATATAAAGAACTTAACACCAAAACCCCCCGATAATCACTTAAAAAAGTGGGCACAGGACCCAAATAGACATTTTTCCAAAGAGGGTATACAGATGGCCAACAGACACATGAAAAGAGGCTCACCATCATTAATTAACCATCAGGGAAATGCAAATCAAAACTACAATGAGATATTGCCTCACACTTGTCAGAATGGCTAGTATCAAAAAGACAAGAAATAAGTATTGGCAGGGCTGTGTAAAAAAGGGAACCCTTGTGCACTGGTGGTGGGAATGTAAATTGGTGCAACCACTGTGGAAAGCAGTATGGAGGTTCCTCAAAAAATTGAAGATAGAAATACCATATGATTCAGTAATTCCACTACTGGGTATTTACTCAAAGAACTAAAAAACACTAATTTGAAAGGATATATGTACCCCTATGTTTATTGCAGCATTATTTACAATAACTAAGATATAGAGGTGACCCAAGTGTCCATTGATAGATGAATAGATAAGATATACACCATATATACATGCACCATATTTTCTTTATCCATATATCCATATCCATCTTCTTTATCCATATATACACATATATATATATGGATATATACACACACCATGGAATATTATTACTCAGCCATGAAAAAGAATGAGCCTCTTGCCATTTGCAACAACATGGATGGACTTAGAAGGTATTATGGTAAGTGAGAAAGAGACAAATACTGTATAATTTCACTTATATGTGGAATCTAAAAAAACAAATACATTAAAAAAACCAAAAAGCAGAATCAGACTTATAAATACAGAGAACAAACTGATGGTTGACAGAGGGAAGGGGGATGGGCAAAAAGGGGTGAAGGGGAGTGGGAGATACAGGCATCCATTCATGGAATGAATAAGTCATGGGAATAAAAGGTACACCATAGGGGATAAAGTCAAAGTGTTGTAATAGTTTCGCATGGTGACAGATGGTAGCTACACCTGTGGTAAGCATAGCATAAACTGTAGACTTGTCAGATCACTGTGTTGTATACCTGAAACTAATGTAACGTGTGTCAAATATACTTCAATTAAAAAATAAATGAATATTGAAAAAAATACTCTCTTCAGGTAGACGTTGGTAAATGATAGTTTTCTTTTGAAAGATCATGTCAAAGAAATATCCTAATTTTTTGTGTCTTTTTTCCTTTTGATAGATTGAAGCCATGGCCATTCTTTTTGCAGTTGTTGCCAGGGGAACGACTATCCTTGCCAAACATGCTTGGTGTGGAGGAAACTTCCTGGAGGTGACAGAGCAGATTCTGGCTAAGATACCTTCTGAAAATAACAAACTAACGTACTCACATGGCAAGTGAGTTCTGCTCTGCATGGGAAGAGGGTGAAAGAAGTGAACTGTATTATAATCAGAACAACAGAAAACAGGGTTCTTGGTAGATAATTTAAATAAGCTGACAGAACAGTAATCTTTACCAGCTTAGATAATGGTCTGGTTCTATTCATTATAAATTTGAATTTAAATTATTTTTATCATCAAAGTGATATTAATATTTTAAAGATATGGTAATGTTACTTATAAAAAATGACTTTGCTATAGAGCTCTAGGATATGTGCAACATGATACAGATAAAAGATATAATATTCCTTTGTTCATTCAGTAAATATTTACTGAGCACTTGACTATTGCTAGGCACTGTGCTTGGTGCTGGGGATGCAACAAGAAATTACACAGTATTTGCCCTCATAGAGGTTACAGTTTAATGGAGGAGACAGTCAAGTCCATAGATAACTATAGTAGATGGTGGAAGGTAGTGGATAGGAGGATGGCATTCTAGCTAGAAGGAATAGCTGGTAGAGAAGTATGGAGTTATAAGTTCATAGCACATGTTTAGGGAACTGCAGGTGGTATTCTGTGACTGGTACCCAGCATGGTGAAAATAAAGCTAGAGAGATAGGTAAAAGAGAAATCATATAGGGTCTCATAGGCCATATTAAGAGATTGATTTTACCCTGTGGACAGTGGGAAGGCACTGAAGGTTTTCAGCTGGGGTGTGACATGGTCAGCTTTTGCTTTAGAAAGATCGCTCTGGTGGCTGATTGGAGAATGGATTAGGAGGGCATAGGTGGGAAATCTTAGTAATCAGATAAAAAGTACCTCAACCTTCCTCATCAATACTTAAAAAACTTTTGTCATTTAACCCATCCTAATTTCCTTAGTTCCTATCTCAGAAGGAGGTCCTTACTACTTTCCAGAGCTAGCTCTTTGTATAATTTAGGACCTACTCTAGTCTAAACTACTGTAAGAGAGATACCCAAACTACAGTGTTACTTAAATGAGATAGCCCAGAGATGAGTACTTCCAGGCTGGTGGGGTGGCTCTGTCATTTTCGGTTAGTGTCTTCAGTTAGCTCTGGCCAAGGCAGTTCCTTTAGTTCTTGTTAACATCCTGTGCTCAGTAATTTTAAGGGCAAAGCCCAGAAGTAGGGTGACATTTTATTGTTCAGAAGTTTTGGGTTATGTTTTATTTTTCTCTACATAGTTATGTAGCTAACCTAGCTGGAAGGGAGGCTAGATTTTGTCATTTATAGCTGTGCAGCTGTATGTTCAGGTAAAATTCTATTACATTAGAAGAAGTTATAGGATATTAGGAGACAACTTGCAATCTTCCATTCTACTCTTTTGGGCCACTCAGATATCTGGGTGTACTCTTCTTCCCAAAGAGCACATATCCTCTCTGCAGGAGATGGCTCCAAAAACTCATCTGGTCACTGTCTAGTTCAGAGAGTCTGGGTGACACACAGTCTTCTCCATCAGGCCCAGGGGTGGCTTTTGTGACTTACCATAAACTAGAGAAGTGACATGTTCTTCCTGCTCCCCCTGTCCCACACATTAGACAATGGTAGAAGTAGAACAACATCATCAACGTCGAAGTTACAAATTCACATTTAGAGAAGAGAAGGATGAGAAACACATAGAAGTCACTGCTTCCTCGCAGTGTTCCAGTAACTACTTCACAGCAATTTCAAAGATTCCCTATTCTGACCCTGGAGTGGTTAGTGGTTCTGGTTCATTGGAGGAACTCCCTTGTCTTTTCTCCCTGAATCCTGGTTTTGTTCTCCAGGAGGCTCTTCCTTGTCCATTATCACCTGGCCACACCAAAAATGTGTGTCATCTTTTGGAACTGTACAGGTTTTGTAGTCTGCTGCCTGCTGGTATGGTTTAGAGGTCCAGACGTTGTCTTAGGGGTCAAATGATCCCAGCTTCTTGTGAGTATGGCTTTATAGTGTTTTCAAAAACTTATTAGACTTACGGTCTCTGTGTTCCTATTCAGTTCCCAGGAAAATGCCCAGGGAAAGCACATTCAGTCCTTTTAGAGGCAAGACTGGGAAGTGGGGATATACCTTCCACTCACATTTTATCAGCCAAAATTAGTCACGTAGCCGTATCTAGCTACAAGGGAAGCTAGAGTATGTAATCCAGTAAAAATGTGGTTATAGTACAAGAAGGCAACATTGTCCATCTGTTGTGCCTCTCCACTTGTATCCTGATCCAGTCCTGCCCAGTATCCTCTGGAGTGAGGTTCCAGCACTCAGTTTTTCCTTTTAACATTCTGCCTTCGTTTCTTTCCTATAATCATATTCCATCATCTTGATTAAAAATATCCATTATTGTACACTGAAAGAAAAAGTCCATGTTACTGTAAGACAACCATTTCCCCCTGAAATTTGATCTTCCTCTTGCTGTTTCTCTCTTCTTTAACAACATCACCAGCCATTCAGTTGGCTAAGCCTAACACTGAAGAATCATATTTGACTTTCTCACCAAATCCTTGCCATTCTCCTACAAGAGATTTTTCAATCCATTGCCTATCCTCTATCCCCACTTGTCAAAGTGTTTAGTTTAGGCCTTTATTGGTTTTCATTTTTAATAACCTCCTCATAACTTGTTTTTCAGCTTCTAGTTGTTCCTTCCTTAAATTTGTATTTCACGCTCCTATGATTACACTTTCTTGCTTAAAACCCATTACTTAAAAAATAAATAAAACCCATTACTTTGGGGCGCCTGGGTGGCTCAGTCATTAAGTCTCTGCCTTCGGCTCACGTCATGGTCCCAGGGTCCTGGGATCGAGCCCTGTATCTGGCTCCCTGCTCAACGGGAAGCCTGCTTCTCCTTCTCCCACTCCCCCTGCTTGTGTTCCCTCTCTGCTGTCTCTCTCTGTCAAATAAATAAATAAAAATCTTTAAAAAAAAAAAAAAAGTAAAACCCATTACTTTTAGAGTAAAGCCCAAACTCTACCTTCATAAGTTTGTCCATTCCTGACCTTTCTGCCCTTATCTCTATAGGAGTCCTTGCCGTTCTCTGACCTAGCTGTGTTATTTCAAGCTTCGTTACATCTTTTTTTCATGCTTTTGAACTTTCTCTCCCCTCCCAGCCCAGTGGTAAACTTTTGCTCATTTTATAGGTCCCAAATGAGATACTTTCTTCATCATTATTTAATCCTTCTAAAAGGGCAATTCTGATCACGTCCCTTTTATTCAGCAGTTACTCTGTGCACTCAGGGTGAAGTTTCTTGGTGACTTGGAAGACTCTTCAGTATCTGCCTCTGCTTCCTTCTCTAGCCTCATATCTCACTACTTTAGCCTTCGGTTTTGTTCTCCTGCCATACTTAGCTATTTGCATTTCAGTGCTGGGTTCTTTCTCTTTCTATTTGCAGTAGCTATTACCTTTTACTTGAATATGTTTTTCTTTTTAAAAATCTGACTTTGCCTTTCTGAGCTTAGATATTTTCTTTTCTAGAAACCCTGAACTCCAAGACCAGGCCAGGTGCCCCCTTTTTGCTTGTCTCCATAGTATCATTTGTTTATTCATACTGTAGCACTTAGCACACTGTAGTATAATTGCAATCTTTACTTTTTGTCTCTGTCATCTGACTGTAGGCTGCTTGGTGGCAGGGACCATACATTGTAACTTTTTGTGGTCTTCACACTAAGTTACTCCCTAGGGTACAAATTTTCTGGAGAAAATGATGACTTCCATTTTGGACACTGTGTTTAAGTTATCTATGCTATGTCCAGTTGGATGTGTCTAGTAGACAGTAGTGTATGTAGGCCTGGAGCTCAGGAAGTAAATCAGATCTAGGTTTGGGAATTATCATCATAATTGTGGTAGCTGAAAACAACAGCAAGACATGACAGTGGATGCCACCGTCCAGGGACTGTGTGTGAGAAGAGCAGAGAGCTGAGGATGTTGGAAAACGTCAATAGAGAGGGAAAGAGACTGCCACATTAACCAAGCAAGCCTGGTGCTGGGAAATCTAGTGGAGAGAAAACACTTTTCAGAAGAAGGAAGTGGTCAATAGTATCATGTTTCAGAGAGGGCCACTGGATATGGCGACGTGGAAGTTATTGGTGGAATTGATGTGAACAGTTTTAGAGTAGTGGAGGAAGACATTTTGCCTGAGTTACCATACCTCCTTGTAATTCATATCAAGCCTTTATGTGAACATTAAAAGTATAATTCAACAGGTACTCTTATCTATCCACTTGCCCAAGGTAGAAATCTGGGAGGCAAAATTGAGTTTCCCTCTGCTTCATTTCCAGTAGCCAGTTACCAAGTTCTGTTCTATGTCTCCTGCCTTTTCTTTTTCATTGCCCGTAGTACTTGAGTTTATTTCCCTCTTCATTTGCTTACCTGCTGTACTACAGTACTCTCCTATCTGGTTCTTCTTTTTTTTTTTTTAAAGATTTTATTTATTTATTTGACAGAGAGAGACACAGTGAGAGAGGGAACACATGCAGGGGGAGTGGGAGAGGGAGAAGCAGGCTTCCCGTGGAGCAGGGAGCCTGATGTAGGGCTTGATCCCAGGACCCTGGGATCATGACCTTAGCCAAAGGCAGGCAGACGCTTAATGACTGAGCCACCCAGGCGCCTCTCTCTGGTCCTTCTTTCAGTGAGTTTTCCATGCTCTAGCCAAAACATCCTTTTGCATGACAAATCTTACTACACACTCTTCAGGCTAAAACCTTTTGATGCTTGTTCATTTTTCTTAGGATAGTGCATAGTGAGGTTTTAACATCTTACTTAACCTGGTATTTGCTTACTTCTCCAGCCTCATCTGTGCAGGTAATTTGTTTTTTCCTTCTATTTCACTTTCTAGTCATGTGAACTCATTTGACTGTACTAAAGCCATTATGTGCTTTTTTTTTTTTTTTTTAAATCTCCAGGCCTTTATGCTTGTTGGTTTTTCACTCTGGAACCCTCTTTGTCTCCTCTTTACCTTGCCATCTTTTACTTATTCTTCAGGTCTTGACTCAGACATCACTTGCTCCAGGATGTCTTTCCCATTACCCTTTGCTAAACTCTGTTAGGTGTCTCCTTTATGTTGCCAGAGCACCATACTGCCTTTTACTCCTCATCCTGTTTTACCGTGCCGCTCAGTAATTCCCTGCACTGTGATCTTTGTGAAGGCAGGGACTGATGGTTTTGCTTATTTGTATCCTCAGCACCCAACCCAGTAACTGGCTCAAAGTAGATGTCAAACAGTTGTTAATGTTGAGCATTTGGTACAAAAAGTGATTGCTCTGAGATTTTAAAAGAAGGCAAGGAAGATGTATGGCTCATTGGAGGTTAATCTTAATTATGTGTCCCTCCTAAGATGTCATCTCTTGTTGAGGCCCTAAGAGTCCAATTATGCTTTTACAGCTACCATTTTAATGGGTAATGTGCATACCGTTGTGCTACATAGTTAGGGTAGAGACTTTATTTTAATGTTTTATTTATTCTTATCAGTTTGACTTGAGAGAAACAGGTGTATAGGGGAGGGGGAGAGGGAGAATAGATAGTATCTGTAAATGATATGGTCACATTGGTGGTACTAAATTTGCTTATACATAGATAGAAGATGGAAGTGAAAGCGATATTGCTCATAACCACAATAAATTTTATATCTTTTATTCTACAGTTATTTGTTTCATTACATCTGCCAAGATAGGATTGTATATCTTTGTATCACTGATGATGTAAGTAACTTGAAGACATGTTGCTATTTAACTATGTGTACTGTTAATAAAGTCAGTTCTTAATTATCTGTATCTTTAGTAGGTAAAGGTGATGTGATTATAACTGTCCATAGCTGGAAATTTTTTCTATACTTTGCATTTGTCATATGGAGCAGCAAATGACAAGAAGAGTTGATGTCTGGATATATGCAAATCAGCTCAGTTTTGGTAGAGTTTTAGCTTAACTAACCTCTTGCAACTTCTGCATTTCTCCCATTGTGTAGTGAGAATTGGTCTTCATCATCATGACCCTTTGATATCAAATCCTCAAAATTTATTTATCTGAAATATTAAATAGGTTATTTTATTCAATACTGAATTTTTTTATTTGAATCCAATTAGCCAACATATAGTACATCATTAGTTTTAGATATAATGTTCAATGATTCATTAGTTGCGTATAACACCCAGTGCTCATGTGAATAGTGAATTTTTTAATGTATAATGACCTTTGGAAAACAAAATCACAATACGTCATGATCCCCTTTGTAAACCTGTAGTTCACATTGGTAGGTGGTTTTTTGAGTATTTACAGGTTCTAGACCAAAATGCTCAGTAACTTAACAATGCCATCAAGGTCATTTCTCTCCTCTGTTATCTTTAGCGTCAGCTTCTTCCTAGTCCATTCCCCTATGGTTGCATGGAGCCACATGCTTTTTTATTTGTGTCCAGAGGAACTGTGTGTTCCCAAATCTCTTATTGTAAGAATGAGGAAAGTTCTCAGAAGCACACGCTCTTCTCCCCCTCTTTCAAAGTGAACTTCTTTTCATGTCTTATTGGCTAGGACTAGGTTACATACTTATTTCTAAATTGATCAATGACAAGAGGCGTGGAATTGGCATGATTGCCATAGGTCAGGGTTTTTAACCTTTATTGTGTCACAGACCCCTTTGACACTCATGGGCCCCTCCCAGGATGTTTTTAAATGTATGAAATACATGATTATAAACAAAACCAATTATACTGAAATACAGTATTCAGAGTATTTTAAAAATTGATATAGTAATATATATGATTTTTATGAATTCATTAAGTAACAAGATCTAGTCATAGGTCTGATAACTAATAATAATTTTGAAGTGATGAGTATAAATGATATTTTGAGATATCTATAACTGATGGTATGTGAAAAAAAGATTTCTATTGGTGACAGTCACAGGTACTGTTTGGTACTATTCTGGTTTGTTACCTACAGTCAGATTTGAAACTTAAGTTAAAACTTAATGTGGTTTATTTTCTATCCAAGTGCATGGACCCCTTGAATTTGGACCACTGATGCCAGTGTAAGAACCCTTAGCTTAGACTAATCATCTTGGGTGACATGGAGATGAGTGTCAACTATAGTGATCATCACAGTGATTTTTATCCTTAGTTTCAGAGTGTTTTCTAAAATTATTTTAAAAGTTCAGCTATATCTGAAATGACTGATGTGAAAAGGCTTGGAATAGATAAGAAATATGACTAAATTTGGGTTCATCAGAGTTGAGTTTTCTATTTCTTGACTGGGACCAGACAAGAGTACATGACTTGATCTTTTCAAGTATACCATCACTATTAAAAAAAACTCAATTCAAAGTAGTGTTATTTTTGTGTGTGAAAGACTGTACTATTATTATGGATTTATTAAGCATCTTCTTGTGCTGGGCCTTCTAATAGATCCTGTGAAAGATATGGAGGAAGTAATACCCAATTCTTACTCTCAAGAAACTAACCTAGATACTGTTATCTTTAGTTGGCAGTAGTCAAATAAATATATTTGGATTGGACTCTCAGTTCTTTCTTTTATTAGTCGTTTGACCTTCAGCAAGTTACCTTTTAAGAGCCTTTGTTCTCTTATTGTAAAATGAGGTCAGTGCTAGTTCCTCCTCATGGAATCATTGCTTAGTAAATGTTAGCTGTTCTTATGGTTGTTGTTAATCATCCATATCATCTTTGTTTATTTTCTAATGTGGACTCTGTGTTGGTCTCTTTTCAGGATTTTGAACGTTCTCGAGCATTTAATTTTCTGAATGAGATAAAGAAGAGGTTCCAGACTACATATGGTTCGAGAGCACAGACAGCACTCCCATATGCCATGAATAGCGAGTTCTCAAGTGTCTTGGCTGCACAGTTGGTAAGGTCTTTTTCAGGATATAGTATTTTGATTCATATCTTCTTTATTACTTTCAGGCACTTTGAATATAGGGGACTCTGACCTGCAAATATATTTTTCTGATTGTGCTATTAAATGGCAACGTAATAAAACTTCCCAGATAGAAAAATTTTAAATAATCAGTGATACTCTCTATATAGTGTTCAAAGTATCTAGGAATGGGGAAAAACATTAAAGATCATCTACTTGAGCTACCCATCTAATGCATAAATCCACTCAGTATGCCAAATGGCCTCTTAACTTGTACATTAACCTTCTACCCTCCCATGAGGCAATTGTAATTTTTTTTTGAGTGAGAGAGGGTGCATGCCTGCCTGCGTGGCAGGGAAGGAAGGCGAGAGTGAGGGAGGGGCAGAGAGAGACTTTCAGGCAGGCTCCACACTCAGCATGGAGCCCAATGCAGGGCTCAATCTCACAACCCTGAGTTCATGACCTGAGCTGGAAATTAAGTCAGATGCCTAATGACTGAGCCGCCCAGGCACCCCAAGGCAACTGTAATTTTTGAACAGCTTAACTTAGTCATTTGAAAGTCTGCTCATCTATGTGAATACCAAACTGTCAGCTCAGTGAAGTTTTGCATACATATATACCTATGAAATAACACCCTTTTCAAAATACATCTCCATGACCCTAAAAGTTCCTGATGTCCCTTTGCAGTCAATCCCCTCCCCAACACTCTGCCCCAGGCAACCTCTGCTCTCTTTTCTGTCACTATGAATTAGTTTTGTCCTTTCTAGAATTTCCTATAAATGGAATTATGCATTACATACTCCTTTGTGTCCTGGATGCTCTGTGTAAGGCTTTTGATATTCATGTTGTGTAAATCAGTAGTTCCCTTTTTTTGCTGAGTAGTGTTGTGTGCATATACCACAATTTGTAATAAATTATCAAACTTTTTTCCTAAGTGGTTGTACCATTTATATTCCCACCAGCAGTTCTAGTGTTTCTACATTCTTGCCAATGCTTGTTATGGTCTATCTTTTTAATTTTAGTCATCCTAGTGGGTGTGTAGTGATATCTCATTGTGGTTTTAATTTGCATTTCCATGATGACTAATGATGTTGAGACCTTTAAAAATGCTTCCCTTTTAGCGGTGAAACTATCTGAGTGCAAAGACATATGTTCTATCTATGATTGTATCGTGAATGAGAAACAAAAGCATTATTGTGATTGAATACTTTTCACTTCTTTAAGTGTTCTTTTTAGTACTTTTTGAGTGTTACACTTCTAAATATGCATTCTTCGGGGGATGAAGTTCCTTTAAATAGTTATAAATCTTTATTCAGTCAGTTTGTTTGTTTCATACTTCCCACTAGAAAACATTCATACATGTGATACTGTGTAAAACATCACCAACCAAAAATATACCAATATATAGTCAAAGGTAACAGGTGAGCTGGCAGCAAAACTTTCAACTTAACCAGTTTGTCATTGGCTCTGTATCTATGTGTGACCCTCTGAACAAGTCTGTGCCAGGATTGTCATTTACAGATGGAGATAATAATAAGAGCATCTTCATCATGGAGTTTTTGGGTAGATTAAATAATGTCCTCTCTTTGAAGCATTTAGCACAGTGAAGTGACTAGAATATTGTATATTAAGGACTTCATGGATAGCTATGGATAATAATTTCAAAATACATACAATTATCAATGCTTAGATTTCTAGATCCTATAAGAAGCCAATGAAAATAGGATGCATACTCTGATCCCAACAGATAGAAGAATAGATGCTCAGAAGGTGGGCCAGCCTCTCCTCATCATACCCAAGAATTGGGGAACAATTTAGTGTGCTTTTCCCTGTCTTGTTTTCTCCATCTATGGTCTTCTTTTCTCCTTTCTTGTCTGAGCACAGATTATATAACCCTGTACTTCTGCCCTAAGAGTCTCAGGTATATATATTGATAAAATACATTTACCTTTATTTTATGCTGCCTATATTTTTCCCTAGGCCTAATAACAATTTTTTTTAAAGATTTTATTTATTTATTTGACAGAGAGAGATACAGTGAGAGAGGGAACACAAGCAGGGGGAGTGGGAGAGGGAGAAGCAGGCTTCCCGCTGAGCAGGGAGCCCGATGCAGGGCTCGATCCCAGGACCCTGGGATCATGACCTGAGCCGAAGGCAGACGCTTAATGACTGAGCCACCCAGGTGCCCCCTGGTAACAATTTTTAAATGAAATGGCATGTATCTTTTATATCAATACAGGCATAATTTAATAGCATTCCTCAGTGTCATTCCTTTTCTTTTTGTTTTCCTATTGTAAGGTCTGGATAAGTTAAATCTTGTTTTCTTATAGAAGCATCACTCTGAGAATAAGGGCATAGACAAAGTGGTGGAGACTCAAGCCCAAGTGGATGAACTGAAAGGAATCATGGTCAGAAACATAGGTATGTTTCATGGCATAGTCCACATGCATATGGGCAAAAATGGTAATTGATTACTTGATTGGGGTCAAATTATTCTAGAAAGGCTGAAATAGTACTTCCTGAATCTTACTTTTGGAAACTATCAGCTGAGATATGGATGTTGCCTACCTATGATACGGTCTCCTGTATGAATGTTTATTTCTTAGTACTTATGACTGTTCTTCATTCTAATTTGTTAGTTGGCTTAGCAAGAATAATTTGAGATTCTTGCAACAGTTCCGCAATTAAGAATAATTTAGTCAGTTTTGGCTGGAGATACCCAGATAGCTGATGTTATCAGTAGATACTTAAAGTTTAACTTTTTGACCTCCTCAGAAAGTTTGTAACACTTGATTGAGAGAAAGAAAGAATTGGTCCAAAAAAACTGTTGTACTTTTCAAAGAATGAACTATGATATAAATTCTGTCAGCCTATGTTTTGTCAAGCTATTTAAGCACACTAAAATAATCCAGAGAAATGCATCAAGTTTATTTTTTAATTGATTATGCAATTGTATTTAGATTTAGGATGATGCTAATTTTTTAAAATCATTGGTTCTCAAAATGTAGTCCCTGGGCCAGCAGCATCAGCATCCTTTGGGAACCTGTTAGAAATGCAAGTTTTCAGGACCCACCCCAGAGCTATCGAATCAGAAACTCTGTGAGTGGGACCCAGCAATCTGTGTTTTCACAAGCCCTCCAGAGGATTTGAATGCATATTCAAGTTTGAGAACCACTCTTTCTAAGGGGAATATCTCAGACAATAACTTGTATAAAATTGAATGAAAATGATATTGTTTTATAAGATATTTAATTGAGACATTGTCAAATTTCATAAATGTCAATTTACTTATAATCTTGGATTTACTATTTGAATTACTTGTACATTTATTGTTAGCACAGGTACAAGCTGTAAAGACATTTTAGAAAAAAAAATACTCTTGATCCCAGCATCCTAAAGACTCATTTCCATTTTTTCTTTTAAGGTTTTTATCCATATATATACGTATTATAATAATCGCACATATTCAGTTTTGTTGAGGCAGTACAATATAGTGACCAAGATTTAGAGTCATATGTGCCTGAGTTTGAGTCATGATTTCACTTCCAACCTGCTGTTAGCCCTTGGTCATCCTCAAACTTCTCTGAGCTTTGTTTCCTAATCTGCAAAAAGGAGATGGTAGAACCTAAGGTTACCAGGATAAAGGAGATAATGTATGTAAAGCATCTTGTACAGTGCCTAGCACATAGTAAGAGCTGAATTATCGTTAGCTATCATTAATCTACTTTATGCTCATACAGTATTTCATTGGGTTATATTATAGGTTAGAATCATGTCCTAATTTTGGACACTTCGGTTCTTTAGAGCAGTGTTACTCAGAGTACTGTTTTACAACCAGATAAAGAGCTTGCGCCAGCATGTAAGTCAGTGCTGTGCTTCCTTCATTGAGAACATCTTATTATGAATATGTCAGTTGTGTGCTTAGAGACTCAGTTGAAGCAATAATAAACACTCTTAGGTAGCACCGATTTAGAGGTTTGTGTTACAATAACAGTACTGCTCTAAATGGTTTTGTGCCTATTTTTCTTATTTTCTTGAAATTAAGTCCCAGGAATGAGATTAAAAATCAAAAGGGAGAAACTTTTTTTTTAATGTTTACTTTCATTCCAGTTAGTTAACATGCAGTGTAATAATAGTTTCAGATGTACAATATAGTGATTTAGCAGTTCCATACTGCACACAGTGCTCACCACAACAGCTGTCTTCCTTAATCCCCATTACCTATGTAACTCATTCTCCCACCCCACCTCCCCCTCTGGTAACCATCACTGTTTTCTCTCTGTGTTTTTTAAAGATTTTATTTATTTATTTAACAGAGAGAGAGCGTGCACACACAAGCAGGGGGAGCAGCAGAGGGAGAAGGAGGCTTCCCGCTGAGCAGGGAACCCGATGCAGGGCTCAATCCCAGGACCCTGAGATCATGACCCGAGCTGAAAGCAGCCGCTTAACCAATGGAGCCACCCAGGCGCCCCTTATTTTTAATTTTTTGAGGAACCTTCATACTATTTTCCATAGTGGCTGAACCAATTTATATTCCCACCAACAGTGCATAAGGGTTTCCTTCTCTCCAAACCCTCACCAACACTTGTGATTTCTTGTCTTGATGATAGCTGTTCGAACAGGTGTGATATCTACAATATCTCATTGTGGTTTTGATTTGCCTGTCCCTGATGATTAGTGATGTTGAGCATCTTTTCATGTGTCTGTTGGCCATCTAGATGTCTTCTTTGGAAAAGTGTCTATTCAGTTCCTCTGCCTGTTTTTGATAGTTTTTTTATTTGTTAACTGAGTTGTATGGATTCCTTATTTTAGATATTAACCCCTTATCTAGTATATGGTTTGTAAATATTTTCTCCCATTCTGTAGGTTACCTTTTCATTTTGTCGATTGTTTATTTTGCTGTCCAGAAGCTTTTTAGTTTGATGTAGTTCCACTTGTTGAGTTTTGCTTAAAGACCAGTGAGAAAAAACCTTCTTCCCTATGTTTTCTTCTAGGAATTTAATCGTTTTAGTCTTTGAATTTAAGTCTTTAATCCATTTCAAGTTATTTTGGGGGAGCTGTTGTAAGGGATCCAATTTTAGATTCTTTCACGTGGTTATCCAGTTTTCCCAGCACTGTTTGTTGAAGAGACTGTTTTTTCCCTAGTGAGTAAAGTTCTTGGCTCCCTTGTAAAATCTTGGTCAACTGTATATGTGGGAGTTTGTTTCTGGGATCTCTATTCTGTTCCATTGGTTCATGTGTCTATGTTTATGCCAGTACCATACTGTTTTAATTACTATAGCTTTATAGTATAGTTTGAAATCAGGAACTGTGACACCTCTGGCTTTGTTCTTTCTCAGAATTGCTTTATTTGTTTGGGGTCTTTTATGGTTCCATAGAAATTTTAGGATTGTTTTTTCTATTTCTGTGAAAAATGCCATTGGAATTTTGAAAGACATTGCATTGAATCTGTAGATGGCTTTGGGTAGTATGGCCATTTTAACGATATTAGTTCTTCTGATCCATGAACATGGGATATATTTACATTTGTTGTGTCTTTAGTTTCTTTCATCAGTGTCTTGTAGTCTTCGTTGCAGAGATCTTTCACCTCCTTAGTTAAATTTATTCGTAAGTATTTTATTATTTTTGATGGTATCGTGATTGGGATAGTTTTCATTATTACTTTTTTGGATATTTTATTGTTAGTATATAGAAATTTAACTGATTTCTGTATGTTGATTTTATATCCTACAACTTTATTGCATTTGTTGATTAGTTCAATTTTTGGTTGAGTCTAGGATTTTCTGTATATATTATCATATCATCTGCAAATGATGCCAGTTTTACTTCTTCCTTTTCTATTTTGATGCCTATTATTTAATTGTCTTGTCTGATTGCTCTACTTAGGCCTTCCAGTACTATATGAGTAACAGTGGTGAGAGTGGGGATCTTTGTCTTGTTCCTGATCTTAGAGGAAAAGCTTTTATTATTTCACCATTGAGTATGATGTTACCTTTGGGTTTGTCATATATGGCCTTTATTATGCTGAAATATGTCCTTATATACTCAGTTTGTTGAAGTTTTTTATGATGAAATGATGCTATGTTTTGTAAAATGTTTTTTCTGCATCTATTGATTTGATTACAAGTTTTTATCTTCCATTATATTAATGTGGTGTATCACATGTACTGAGTTGTATATGTGGAACCATTCTTATATGCCAGGGATAAATCCCACTTGGTCATGGTATATGATCATTTTTATGTGGTGTTGAATTCAATTTGCTAATATTTTTTTGAGAATTTTTGCATCTGTGTTCATCAGGGATATTGGTCTATAGTTTTCTTGTTGTGTCCTTATCTGGATTTGGTTTCAGGGTAATGCTGGCCTTGTAAAATGAGTTTGGAAGTATTTCCTCCTCTTTGGTTTTTTTTGGAAGAGTTTGGGAAGGTTTGGCATTAATTTTGCTTTAAATGTTTGGTATAATTCACCAATGAAGCCATCTGGTTTTGGGTTTTTCTTTGTTAGGAGGTTTTTGGGTACAGATTCAATCTCCTTACTCATTATTGGAATGTTCAGAATTTCTATTACTTCATGATTCTGTCTTGGTAGGTTATATGTTTCTAGGACTATATCCATTTCTTCTTTATTCAGTTTGTTGTCATGTATTATTCAAAAGAGTCTCTTATGATCCTATGTATTTCTGTAGTATCAGTTCTAATGTCTCCTCTTTCGTTTCTGATTATATTTGAATCTTCTTTTTTTCTTTCATCTAGCTAGAGGTTTGTCAATTTTATTATTTAAAAAAAAAAACAGCCATTAGTTTTGTTGATCTTTTCTATTTTTCTGGTTTCTATTTCATTAATTTCCACTTTGGTCTTTGTTTCCTTCCTTCCACTAACTTTGGGCTTAATTTGTTCTTCTGTTTCTAGTTCCTTGAAGGTTCAAGTTAGGCTGTTTATTTGAGGTCTTTGTTTTCTTAACATATGCATTTATCACTATAACCTCTTGCAGAACTGCTTTTGTAGCATCCTGTGTGTTTTGGTGTGTTGTGTTTCTGTTTTCATTTGTTTCAGTTATTTTTTTATTTTCCTTTTGATTTTTTTCTTTAACCCATTGGTTGTTCAGGAATGTGTTGTTTAGTTTCCACATATTTATAGATTTTCCAGCTTTCCTCTTGTTGATTTCTAATATCATACTACTGTGGTTAGAAAAGGTACTTGGTATGATTTCAGTCTTCCTAAATTTGTTAAGACTTGTTTTGTGTCCTATCATATGATGTATCCTGGAGAATGTTCCTTGTGCACTTGAGAAGAATGTATATTCTGCTGCTGTTGGATGGAATGTTCTGTGTATTGCCTGTTATGACCACTTGTATGGTTTAAGTCATGTTTCCTTATTGATTTCTGTCTGGATGATCTAGCCATTGTTAGAAAGGGGTG